AGAGCCAAACCACTGCTGCTCAACGTTACTTGAGCGAGGTGGCAACGAGCCTGCCAACCTGGAACGCCTGCAGTGCTCCCTTCTCCAGGCAGCAGCACTTCTGAAGAGCACACACTGGGCTCTTTTTGCAAGAGTTCTCTCCTGAGATGCCTGGAACTAAGCACAGATGACTCAAAATGTTAAAAACCCAGTAGTTTATTTCAAAGTATAAATTTCAGGCTTGTCAGACAAAACCCCACTACAGTTAACACAGACACACACTCTAATCTACAGTACATACAAAAATGGGGAGAGCTTGCAACTGCCCAGTTAAAATTGGACATTAAATCAGTCCTACATTTTTTTGTATTTACAAGTCCAGCTGCAAAACAAAACAAGAAATCAGATTCTGAGTTTCCTAACAAAGGATTTTGCACGTCCCCCACCAGCCAATAAATTACTAAAGCTGAACAGGGCTCCCCAAACAGCTACTACCCAGTTGTCTTATTACAGCTATACCCCATTAAATTAAGACAGCACTTCAAATATATATATATATATGTGTGTGTGTGTGTATATATATATATATATGTTTAAAAAAGAAGAAAAAAAGAAGGCTCAGCCTGCATAATGACAATGAGAAATAAAGATGCATTTTAAGAGGTACTTAGAAGGGATGACAAGGAAGGTTAATTCATTTGCTTTCTCTTAGCTATCCTTATTTTCTTTCTCCCCTCAGAAGGTGTTTGGAAGGGAATACAGATTTTGGTGGCAGGGCTGGCTCAGTGTCATTTGAACTTTTCTCCCTCCAGTGTTTTCATACAATGCCCACCCCTATTCAAACCAAGAAATTAAAAAAATATATATTTAATATATCGAGCTTCTATTTAAAAAATCTGGTTAGATATTTTTGACTAAATGAAAATACTAAAGAGTTTTACAAGAAGGCAGAATCACAGCTTGGTTTTGTACAGTGTATGCAATACTCTAATACTGGGGAATGGCTGTTTGGGGAGCAGGAACAGATTTGACCTGTTCCCTACATATAATACAGATTCTGATTTATTGGACATTTAAGACAAACAGCATAAAGAAAGGGCTGAAGTGACTATTTTTACTACAGTACAAAACGGTGCTCGGATCCTACTATTGGGCCCAGTCGTGCTCCCACCGAAGGCACGAGGGGTTTTGCCATTTTCTTCAACGGAAGCAGGGTAAGACCCCTTATTTTTACAGGGAAGACACCATGGGCGTTTCCAGCCTTGTGCTAAAACCCTTCGGTTGGGCGAGTGTCTCAGTGCTTGTGCTTAGTGATCAAACATGGCCAAAGGTAGCACAAATAATTCAACGGAGCAAAGTCCAAGTCCAACGGCTACTCCTAGGGAAGCTGGTCAGAGCGTGGAAATAAATACAGGCTGAGGGGAACCTGCCTCTGCAGCCTCACGTTTTCTGAAGCTGCCACGGCAGACAGAGTACAGATACTACACCTGCAGTCTGCCCGCTTCCTAGCATTTAGTTATTTGAATCCAATAAAGCTTTTTTAGACAGACACTAAAAGGAGGCCAGTGAAGCTGTGGCTAGGAGGAACGCAGCGGAAAGGAATGGCATTTTGCCATCAGCACCCCACAGCAGGGCTCCTCTCCAACCAGAAACTGAACTAACTCAAATTACTTTCAACCTGGACATCCAGATACCCCTGTATCATGCAGAGAAAACAAATCAAACCTAAACCAAACAAAACCTAAACCAAACTAGAAAGTAAATGAGGCTGGAAAACACAGCTGTAGAATCAGTACTGTGTTTGCTAAACACGGGGAACTAGATCCAAGGTGGTACCGCTGAAATGTTGTGTACCCAGTGGCAACAGCAAAACACTAAGTCAAGAACAACTTTATACCAGGGTACTGGAAGAAAGATGCAAAAGCATGCATGAAGTGCAGAGAACAAACGAAAACCAACCCTTCCACTTAAAAGCCATATAGAGATTTGTAGCATATTTAAAAGTGGATTATAGGAAGCCTCCGGCAACTAACACTTTTTATAAAGAGCCCGGTTTAGAAGCACGGCACTAACAGACCTGTACTGAATGTTTCTGGATGTTTTGGTAATACTTTCAAATAAAGTCTGTTAAATGAAATCAATTAGTTCTGAACGTTTGTTGCTAGCAGAAGTTTAGTTTCTCTATAGTTTTATCATTTCTGGGAGGTAAAGAAATAAAATTAACCAGCCACCCCACAACACAGGGAAATGTGCCATGAATTCAGGAATTAATACTTGTGTCCGTTAGCACAAGGGATGCATACTCACTGCACAGATCTGCTCCACCATGAAAATGATTTTGCAGAAATGGCATAGTTCTCTCATTGTGTGTCAGTGATTTAAGGACTGATTTAAGTGTCGGGATTTAAAGGTAGCTACCTTTAAGGTCTCCAAAGGAAGCCAGGCATTTGAAAGTCAAGCCGTGCTTTATCACATACTTTGCCACCACTACTTGCTTAAGATCCTCAAATTGGACCTTTAGCAGCTCTGCTGGGATGAAACAAGAGAGAAGTCAGCTTTCACCGCACCGCTGCGATGGCTTCAGCCAACAAATGGCAGTGAGCTTATTTAATCTAGTCACAAAAAATCAACTGCGCTCTGCCAGACACAGCAGAAATGGATCTGTTAAGCCAGAAGCCAGGTTTTACCATCAGTTCAGTTGAGAACTACATCTTTCTTTAGCAAATAAAGGCGAGTCAGTCTTTATACAGCCCACAAAACCTCCAAACACGGTACCAGACCATCCCTAATAATACCTCCATTGGAGGAAAGAAAAAATTTCTAACACAGGACTCTTGCCCCCCCCACCTATCCCAAGCAACACAAAGCTAAGAACAATTGTGACCTAAACTCAAGCACAAACTATAGAAAAGCTCGTGTATAGTTTGGGCTGGAATCACAATTAAATAAGCAGCATAAATTCTAGGTTGTATTCTAGTATTTATTTTAACTTTCAAACTATAAAACCTCATTGTACTGATACGGCCAATGGCCCTTTGGTACCACCTCAAAGACGCATTGAAAAAAACTGCCCAAGGAGGACTTGACAGCCATCAACTGGAATGAACTGCTCTAACCCCTAATACAGAACTGGCTTTATAAGGACCCAACTTTCCGTAAGTAGACTAAATGCGTTAAGTAATTATTCCTTGAAATAGGCAGACAAAACATTTAATTAAACATAGAAAAATTCAAGGCATTATTGATTATTGGCACCAGTAATACAGGGACAACTGTTATTCAAAGGAAAGGTTACACATCGTTCATACATGAGATTCAGTGTGAACCTTCTCTCTCATGATACTTGGATTTAGACGGGATTTTTCCTCGCTCAAATCAGTAGAACTGCTGTACTTTAAATGCAAGTTTCCATACAGAAAATATTTGTTACTCACCTGACAGAAGTGACAATCCCAGCTAAATGAAGGAGTGCAGCAAAATAGTATAGACAAAAGTCTACAAAGCGTTTTTTGTCACTGATGAAAGTTCTTGAAGGGAACGCAACTAAAGAACCCATGATCTCATAGCGTATTTCACCAGCCATGTTTTGGGATTTAATTTTTCCTGCCCTTTTTCAACCTTGCTTTACATTTAAAAAATGTTGGTTTAAGAAAGAGCACTGAAGTTAAAAAATGTTTTCTTCTACAGCTTTGCTACATGGTGAAGTGGATTAAAAAAAGACTCCCTTCTAAATCCAGTTTGGTTCTGCTGGGCAGGAATGAGACTGCTGTCCTTGTTCTGAAAAGCGCCAAAATAAAAACCTTACATATATTTTCTTATCCAGGTTCTGCAAAAAAGCAAGTTTAACATGGCAACGACAGTGGGGCAGATGCACCAATTTCTTTTCTCAGCTCAGAAGCATCATGAAAGCATCTATTAACATTTGCAGTTGCTCACAAGTTTTAGGCCAGTGTCTAAAATTGTTTCTAAACTGCTTTGGGTGCATTAGCTTTCTGCAGAGACAGGCAGGTGACCGAGATAGAGAAGACTGGAAAGCCAACTTCCTATCTTTTTGTACCAACTGAACATTGAAACTGAGTGCAAACAGCTAGAAGCTTTCATAGTGCCACACACCGCAGAGGTTTCTTCTTTGGCTGAACTGCAGCATACAGCTTTCCCAAAAGAACAGGGAAAGGCTCTGGTGGGAAATACTGCTCTGATGTTCTTGACAGGACAAAACCAACTACTCAAGAATTACAGCGAGGAAAGGGTTGAATGATACTGCAGAGAAAAACAAATCCAGCATCAGCAGATGTCACACTTCCTGGTCTTTCCAGAAATATTACTGCAGGCCAGGAAAATGAGCAGCAGTAACAAAAGGCTAGAAGGGTAAAGGGAAAAATAACTCCAAGCAAATCAAAACACCACAAGGTATCTGGCTACATTTATTTCTGAAATTATTCTTTAAGGCACAAAATAAATCTAAAAAATAGGGCTAGATGTATGAAGGGAAGGGCAGAGAAATTATCTGAGCTAGAGAGGTGTGAATGCAGTCTCTACAATCCAGTTTCAGATCTGGGCTAGGAACACTCCCAGTGTGAGTGGGGGAGGATGGTGAGAGTAGAGGAGCGTTCTTATTGAGGAGAGGTAGGAGGTAGTGGGGTGATTTCCCCCCCCACCTCCAAATTTACACACATACTGGTTCCCTGGCCAGACTCCAGTTCCCTTCCCTCCCCTCAGAGAGCTCATTACAGTTTGTAAAATAAGACCAGACCACTCAATTTTCCAGTACAAAAGTGAGACCTTGAACCATCCTTCATATCACAGTCTGCTCAGAGTGGTGGGGGGCAAGAGGCAAATCTGTTCCTCATGTTAGTGCCTTGATAGAAATTACATATGTGTCTATTTTGCTTCAGACAACTGTAACTTTTTATTTTGTTCCCACTCTGAAGCAGAATCCCAGGCATCCAGGGTGCCTTTGGATAAAGGGTAGGTAGGTATCAAGGTGGAACAGCTGTCATGGAAGGGAAAATGAAATTTTCAAACGGCCCATGACTTGAGCTATCCAGAAAAAACAGGCTCTCTTGCTGCAGGCGAGACTTTATTTTTCTTTTGGTTCTGAATGCATGTAGTGTATCACACAACTGTCTAAAATAATCCTGCAGAGAGTGGATTTAAAAGTGAATTTCATGCATGGGATCAACGCCCCAAAACTGGGGTAATTCTTGGTAGCAGGACAGGTTTAAAGGCTCCAATGATCTCTAGTTTAACTGCTCTGGGAAGAGATCACATCTGTGGACTGGGGCTCACAGAAGGGTCCAAAACGTCCAAAGATGTCCCTAGCCCGGACCGCAAAGTAGTATTTGCTGCCAGACACAAACTGTGTAAGAGTGCATGCCATAGGTAGCGGGAGGGCCTTCACTTCCCCAATCTTCTTCCACTGGGAGGGCATAGTGGCACTCGGGTCCTCGTGGTAGGCATAGAGATGGTAACTGTCCACAGCAGCACAGCTCCGGTCCACCTCCATGACACTCCATGACAGCACAATACCATTCTGGCTCTGTACCCGTGCCAGCTTCAGCTGTGGCTTTTGAGGCAGAGAAGTGTTGGCAGCTTCAGGGGGCAGACGTGGTGGCTGTGGTGCCTCTGGGAGTGGGGCAGGATGGACAGGGCGTGGTGGCTCCTAAGCAACGTAAGAGCAGTAAGGGAAAGGTCAGAGTCTACAGCAGTGGAAGGAAGCTTTAATTCATCACTCCCCAGGCAAATGGAAGCAAATGAACCTGCAATCACCCAACCATCACAACTCTGAAGTCCTGTGTGCAGAGAGCACACAGGCAAGAGAGCAGCAACAAAGGTTGAGAAGGAGTGGGACCAAGGATGCCATAAGTTCTTATTTGCATATAAATCCCTAGCTGTGTAGATGATCATTGCCACAGTTATTTCCCTATATCCTCTTTGCTTCCCACCCAAGAGGTGATGGACTGCACACTGTAACCTTTACCAGGACTGAGCAGGGAGGTTCACAATGACTTTGAGCTAATCTACATTTGAGCTGCTGTTCCCATACTACCCAGAACACCCCAGGCAGTGGATTAAGCTGACAATTCATCATCTTTTCAACAGGCAGGTTTTCAGTCACAAAAGGAAGAATGGGTAATGGTGGCACATGGATTTTACCACCTTAAATTGATCACAAAAGCTCAGCCTCAGTTTCGAGAAAATTTTGAAATATGGGTACAAATGTGGCTTTCCATTGATTTTATGCCACAGAAACAGTCCTAGGTGTCTCATTTATGTTAGTTAAGATGAATTTAGGAATGTGGTTACGACGAGTACAAAATTTTGTTATTCTACAAGCCAGGGGCCTTTCAGGTTGGAATCTGGGATATTTTTTGTGCTCTGATATTGGCTTGATTTATTCTCATTATTTATCCCTGGAGAATGCATGAAGTTGAATGACGTCTAGATGGAAAGAATAGTGAGCCACCTCGCTGGCTATATATTTACCATTTCAGGACATCACAAGTGATGTGACTGCCCAGCAGTGACTATGCAGGCAATGTGTTTGGTTCACTCTGAACAACCAAAGCCATGTGAAAGAAGTCAGAGTAAATTCTCAAATACTTACAAAAAGGGGTTTGAGGTAATGCAGAAGTAATCACCCCCAACATTGATAAAAAAAACCCTCTCAAATTTGGGAGTTCGCAACCTTGAGGATCTTGTCTGTACCTTGTTCTCCTACCTCAGTTTTGCAAACAGCTGTACTGAGAAGCTGGTCATCCAATTCGTAGCCCAACCATGACTAAAACTTTTTAGTAGCAGTTCTTCTTGTACCCTTGACTCCACAAGTCACCTGCAGACAATTCATGCACCATTTTTCAATACGTGATACTGGTGATCTGGAGATCTCTGGGGTAAGCTAACAGATTGCATAGCTTTTACCATTCTTTGCAGAAGTTGCTGTAGGTGGTGCTATGCATGTGAACTGGCTGCAAAGTGTCTACAAGGCATTTCACTATTCTGCAGTTCACACTAAGAAGCAATCTGAAAGACATTAATGCAGCGACAAGCCTGTAAACTGCATTAAGTCATTTCAAAAGGACTACTCACGGCATGCACTTGTGGCGGTCGATGATGCACTGTAAGCTGAGGCGCTCCAGATCCAAGAGTTAGTCCGTTGTTCACAACATATGCAGTTGTTTGAGGCATTCGTACTGTCATGCCTACAAGAAGCACAGTGAGTATTTTTGAGTATTCAATACTTAAAATCAGCTAAACAGAACACTGAAGACCAACTCCTTGGTTCAGCTGGATGACACAAATTTCAAACTGACACACTCTCTCAAACTGCCAGCAGACTGATGAAGTACTGCACAACAACAAAACCACCTCCCATACCCTGACGCTGTAAAAGTGAAAGAGAGCCAGTGCTTATGTCTGCAGAGCGGACAGAATGTTTTAGTAATTTGTATCATGAAAGAAATGGGTGGGGAGGGGAAGTGTGACAGATACAGGGAACTTACGTATGAAAAGAAAAATTACATCACTTTGGGATTCAGAAAGGAAAAGATAAATGCTGCTGCAGCAGAATGATATCCACTCAGTATTCAAATGCCAGAAGGCTGTGTTGTGGACGGCACCAAAACCGAAAGAGATAAGTGTGCTGATTTTGGCTGGGATGGAGTTAATTTTCTTCAGAGTAGCTAGTATAGGCTTATGTTTTGGATTTGTGCTAGAAACAGTGTTCATAATACAGGGATGTTTTAGTTATTGCTGAGCAGTGCTTACACAGAGTCAAGGCCTTTTGTGCTTCTCACTCCACCTCACCAGCGAGAAGGCTGGGGGTGCACAAGAAGCTGGGAGGGGACACAGCCGGGACAGCTGACCCCAACTGACCAAAGGGACATTCCATACCATATGAGGTCATGTTCAGCATATAAAGCTGGGGGAAGAAGAAGAAAGGGGGGGGACGTTCAGAGTTACGGCATTTTGTCTTCCCAAGTAACTGTTATGCATGACAGAACCCTGCTTTCCTGGATATGGCTGAACACCTGCCTGCCGATGGGAAGTAGTGAATTAATTGTTTTGCTTTGCTTGCATGAATGGCTTTTATTTTAGTTATTAAACTGTCTTTATCTCAATCCATGAGTTTTCTCACTTTTACTCTTCAGATTCTCTCCCCCATCCCACCGGGGGGGAGTGAGCGAGTGGCTGCGTGGTGCTTAGTTGCCAGCTGGGGTGAAACCATGACAATAAGTCACTGTCCAAGAAGCTTGTCCTTCCTCACAGAACAGACACCACAATGGAAGTTACCCACAGGCGTTACCGTTTCATTCATTCCCATAGCAAACTGACCTGACCGGCAGGAATAAACTCGGTAATTTTGTAGCTTTGTAGATAATAATCCAGAACTCTTGCAAAGTACCAAGTTTTTATACTACATCTCACTCTACTTAAGTAATGTTTTGTCCATTTACTCGTGGAACATGTACGTTCTGTGATCTCAAAGCTTGTGCTCATTGTTACGGGTTGCCTAGGGTGTCCCTCTAGTTCTGTCTAGAAATACAAGATTTGGGGCAATCTCCACCACCCCTTAGTTCCACACTTGTATGAGATTGAAGCATTCTAATAATCCAGAAGAGACACTCACAGAGCGACACATGTCAGGAAACCACAGCTATTGTATGGTAATTTCTTCTCATCAAGCTATGATCATAAGTGATGAGTGTCAGAAGTCTATGTAATCTGTGAGTCTGAGGCAGGGAGCTCAGAGTGCTAAATCTTAATGCTTTTATTATAAAGTGCACAGGTACCTGCTTCACATCTTTTTCCTATTGGCACATCTATCTAAGAAGCTAATGAAACTGTTTAAACTCCTGTAGAATAAACAGTCATCTGAAGTGGCTATTTCACATCTGTGAGAATCCAATCAGATATGCTGTTTTAGTGATTCTAGCTCAGGAAATTACAATAACCTGAAGAACGATGAGACAGAAATGCCTTAATAAGAGATAAGGTACAAATTTAGCGCTATTTCTAGGTAGGCATACTACTTAGTCGAAGTAAAGTACAAAACTACAATTTGCAAAACACTTCAGATGAGTTCGCACAGTTAATCTTTCAAAGACAAAGTGCAGAGATCTTACTCCTGAAGCATTTACTACTGACACTAAAGAGTGTTTCAATGATAATATAAACCAATACACATCAGTAGCAGCATTTCTGAAAGCTGTATAACGAAGATGGTGGAAAATGTAGAATGGACTGAAAGACAAAAAACTCATGACAGCTAAAAGGGATCAAGAAACATGATTGCTTTTTTGTTAACAAGACGTGAAACCCCTCTACCTGGTATGCAAATATGAAATAATCTGTATTCTAACTAAACTGGTCTTTTACCTACTCAGGCTAACCATCTGGCTCCTTGTCCTGAGGTACAGGGAATGCACAATGCTATGGAGGAACCATCATTTTCTTACATCTTATGCGGCTTGTAAGACAATAGTACTGTATAATACGCAGACATACTTTTCAAGCCAGAGTAACAGAATTGCCTCTAACAGAATCACAGAAAGGTCCAGGTTTGAAGTGATCTCTGGAAATGATCTGGCCCAACCTTCTGGTGAAAGAATGCTCTTAGATTAGGTTATTCAGGGTCTGGTCAACTTGAATCTTAATTATTTTGGTAGAAACCTGCCCTGATTTCTGAGAATTTGTAAGCAGACAACTGAAGGATAAGCATTCGTTGTATCACCGGACCATCAGGTCAGAAGCACATTACAGAGAGTCTGTTGTTGGATGACCTTGCCCAAAAAAACCATGAACTCCCTACCTCGTTGAGTTCTCCTAGAAAAGGCCTTAAAATAGCATATTACCTATTATTTGTTCTTCAACAACACATTAATTATCTTGCGTGTCCAACACTAAAAGGTATTCTGTAGCTATTAATAATAGTGGTGTGTACTTAATCATAATAACTGCTCTAAGAAGTAGTAGATTCTGACAAAAACATGTACTTTGTATTTTGGTACAAAAGAAGAAAATACTATTAAAAATAATTAACGTAAGTGAATGCGCAGTTAAGTACTCAAAACTCCTTCCAAAACAACAGGTAGATCACACATGTCTAATTTGTAGCTTAGGGTTAACGATGAAGAAAACTAAGTGTGGGCTGAGGCTACCTTGCCTTTTAAGGCCTTTTGCCAACAGGAACACAAGATGCAGACATGCCCCTCAAAAGATACTGCTGGTCAGAAGAACCTGAACTCAAATGCACATGGCACAAGAGTATAAGAAGTTTAAGAAATATGAACAAGTACTCTGAAAAGAACAGCAATTTTCTCACGCCCTGACATTTCATAGAGATAGCTCAAGAACTGTCTGATCAAATTCTGTTTAGCTAGTACAGTTGATTTTTCACAGCCTGTGGCAATGCATCTGAATCCAGTCATAAGAGATATTTAGAATTAAATTGCTACAAACATACATGGAAATTCTCTCTTCCAAAAATGATAGTTTCAGAACAATGAATCAATTATTTCTGCACAAACCTACATAGGTACAGTCTTACATGGCTCAAGCACGCAGTGTTCCAAGACTGGCTTATACAGATGGTGTCTAAAAAAAAAAATCACTACCTGGACGTCACAAAAGAAGGCTCATACTCAGTGCAACAGAACAGGGAAATTCATGTTTAACGTAACGGTGTTAAAATAACCATAGTGTAGAAATTGTGGGGAGCTAAAAAAGGCAGTTAAGATCCACCACTTGGTAACAAAATATAAACTATCATTTAACTTTAAGGTCTCTATTTTTGACATCTACTACTCATTTCAGAAAATGAGTTTACTGCTATAGGAAGAAACCAGTTACACATTTGCAAAGTCGAGATGAACTTGCTGACATCTCTAATCAAGGTAACTCAAGCATGCATCAATTTCTGATACATTTGATAAGAATTTTCATCTGTCCAGGCCTAGAAAAAATAAGAAAATTTGCTGGGCACAGGACATCACAGATGGTTAAGGAATTACATTAGGATGCCTGATAAAAATGTAACTTTTAGACAGGAAATAGAACATGATTTACTACATACTTACATGTTTTAATCTTACTCCATAATAACAAAATGGTCTCTAACTATCTTTCTACAAAACAGTGGTGCTCATCACATTACCTTCCGCTACCTTGTAAAGTATTTGGCATGTCATCCAGAGATGTTTAATTGTCAGAGCCAGTGTCTGAGACGACTTAAATCCAGTTTCTCCTCATTCACATAGCTGCAGGGGGAATGATTTCTTAATAGCCTGAGATTTTCTCAAGTCTAACCTAAACCTCTATAAAACCCTAACCTCTATAATTTGGTCTAGTATTGTAAAAAAACCCAAACAATAAACCCAAAACAAAACCCCAAACCCCACATCCATCAGGTAGAACATATCAAGCTGTGTCATGTTAAAATGTGCATGGAAGAAAGCACCCCCTACCTCCAGTCTGTGGGTTGACTGGCCTTAAACCTGGGCTTGGCATGACAGCTCCTCTTACAGGATTCTGAGCTGGTGATGCAGGAAGAGTGGTATAGACCACCTGATGGTTAGCAGGGGCTCTTGGTATAGGAAGTTTTGCAGCAGTTTGAGTCACTGGCCGATGAGTTACATTCACTGTTGTCGGAGCTGGAAAAAGACAGACAGACCACAACCTAGAGTGGAATTCCACGACATTAAGCTGATATGCCTATTCCAGAGTAAGCACCTGCTTTGGAAAACTGACTCATCTGAGCCATACAAAATAAAAACTGTCTCTGTGAAATTCTATCTGCTTTTCATAATGCAAGAAAAGAGAAAACAGCCTAAACAAACGGTAATTTTCATCTGAAATAATAATGCCAATATATATACATATTCTAACAGAAAGATAAATGTAACACCCCACCCTCAAAAAAGAGAAAGGTCCTGAATATAAGCACAGCTGTGGAGAATATAAAACACACCACCAAAGAATGTGTAGAACAGATCAGTCATAAGACAATTCCAATGCCAACTAATCTTCAATAATCATCTACAGAAGAGAGTAAAGGAAAAGAAAAAAGAAAAAAAAAACAAAGAGGATCTATGTTTCTTTATGTTCAAAGGAAACGGGCGGGGGGTGGGGGGTGGAAATCACACTGCAGACAAAATAACATTTACCTAGGGATAGAACTTCAATGGCAGTCTTGCCATTCACTCTGCCGAAAGGATTAATTGTCAAATGCAGGTGGACAGAGCTAGGAGTGATGTTGCTAACGTTTTTATCCCCCCATTACTTAAATAATGCAACTGCTACAGGTTTCTTCTTCACTTTTACAAACAACAGTATATTTAATATTTTCCATGATCATCCTTAGCAGGATTTCTTCCTCTCCATGGAATTAATTTGATCCTGAATTCTTTCCAAACCAACAGGACCATCTTTTCCTTTCACTTCATCAGTTTTAAAAATAAAAGTTATAGGAGACTGACTAGAATGGAAGATTGAAGAGTGACTCAAACATTCTGAATATTCACCTGAAAAGATGAGCACAATGTAGAACACAAGAGAGTCTAGTTCAAGAAATAAAGCAGTCACTGCATTCACATAATGATGTAAAATGAAGTTACCTGTAGGTAATACATGTATGGTGGTCTGGGAAGGTCCACTTGTTGGCACACCTGTCTGCTGCACAGGGTTTGGCTGCAAAGGCTGCAAGGGTCGAGCCAAGGGCTGGGTGGATATGCTCAATCCTGTAACAGGTGTATGGTTCTGCTTCTTGCCATCTGCTTTAAAACAAAATAAAAGTTATAGACAATAGCAAACAGAAATTAGAACATTGCAGAGTTTTAAAATCCCCCCCCCGTCACTCACAGATTAGCAAAGAATATTTTCTAGCATGACATTTCTTTGATCTTGTCATTCTGCAAACAAAACTGTAGAAAATTAATTCAATTCCATTTGCTTTCATAATCTCAATCTCCCCCCCACTCCCCCCACTCCATAACATTTCATTCTGTCATCATGAAGTCTGCATATTTCAGCATAATTTGGAAACCTGAATTTAATTGACATGCCAGAAAATGAGCCTACAACACTGCAGTTAAAGCAGGAAGGAGTTTTAATCAGCATACTAATTCAGAAGTGGTATAATGGGTTTTCAGAACAGCAAACATACCACACGCATGTTCAAGAGTAAGACAAAAAACGATCCAGGAAACTACAGATTTGTTAAACAGATAAAACAGCTTATAAAATAAAAAATTGATACTGTATATATTTAATAATTTTTCCTACAAAAAGATAAATGCAAAAACCAAAGTGGAACATGGCTGTTTTCAAGAGTACACTTGTGTGTCTTAGATTATAAATCCATTTTAGACTAGGGATAGGTATCAGCTAAATCTGTTAGTTGTTTTAGTATTTTTATCAATTTGATGCCGTGCGCTACATAGATAATTAATAAAAAGGACAGCAAGGGGACTGTACAAGTATTGCAAGATACTTGCAGACAGAAAAGTATCTAGATTACTCTTTGCTAAGATGACAACAATTGTTACGAACAGAAATTAACAACAGGGTTTCTCAAATGTTATGCAACGTTTTCGTTAATAATTTTTGCACACATCAGAAGTGCGCTCAATTTAGTTGCCAGTGTACTGAACTGGAAGATGCTACCAGTATGGAGGTGGACCAAAATATCACACAGGAACAAAGGTAAGACTTGAGAACTAGAAAAAAGATGATGATAGTACAGTGCAACATCAGCCATTCAGGAATTGCTAAGAACTTCTACTATTAATGTGGGAAATCATGTGTGGGGCAGTGAAGATGATCAGGAAAACCTTCATATGTTGTTGATTATGGAATGTCTGTGCGTTGCTTGTCTGATAAAGTAAAGAAGAGAGGAAATGCAAATCTAGGCTGTACTAGGTGAGTGTTTCCACAGTGTGATGGTAATGCTATTTTTTTCCCCCCAACATGAAGCACTATTTGAATGCAAACTCCTGTATGTAAAAAAGGGGTGGAAGTTAGAGACGTGTCTCTGTGTTAATAGAGGAGTGGGGTTTCAAAATGCCAAACCAACAGCTGTTGAAGGACAGCTACGCTGTTTCACAGGAGTACTGCGTCCAAACCCAGTGGCTCAAGCACATAATTAGAGGCCCTAGCCACTATTAAAAAAAAAAAAACCAAAAACAAAACCAAACCCACAAAACCCCCAAACAAACCCACCCCAAAAATCAACCAAACAAAAATCCCCACCCTCAAAACCATGATTAGCCCTTAAAAATAATGCACAGGGTTTTGTCTATCTACCATGACTGAAGACTGGGATTGATGACAGTCTATACAGGCCTGCTCTTCCATAACCCGATACAGAAACTCTGATTTCAGTATAACCTCACAAAATGAGACACCTACAAATTCCATAGTTCTTTACCCAAAGTTCAAGTCTAATTTACCCTATATGCATACTTTGGTGTACAGTATTACAGATACTAATTTTAATTACTGATCCAAATGGAAACATCATTGGAAAAAGGAAGGAATGGAGAGATTACACAAATTTAAAAATCTACCACAATGTTAAAATTTACTCTCAACCCGAATCTTTAGTAATTTCAACCAACAAGGACAAACATTGTAATTGTATACTACCAAAATAGCTTAACTTTGTTTCCTAGTTGCACCCGGAGAGATTGAAAGGGAAGCACATAATAGACATCTGTCTCCAGACATTAACATCTATTTAAGTACCTTTTATGAGTAACAGAATTCGGTTTACTTAGTACGCAGGTGACGGCACTTTAAACAAAATAATCAGGATCAGAGTGTTCTTGGGAACACTATATAGGTGTTGCCTTTCTATTTGAGTTAGTACTGAACTGATATTCCAGCATACTGCAGTAAACACCATAATGCTGGAGGTACTTTCTATCCTGAGGTTATTTAGAACAAAACAGAACTTGCTCCACATTCACTGTAAACAAAGTTCAGTGGAAAAGATATTTGGCCAAAGGTATATGCATGCCTATGATTATGCAAAAGCTGTCAGAAGCATACTTTTCCTCTGTTTAATGTGAATGTTATTATCAGAACACATGAATTATTTCCCAAGAAACTTGCTCAAAATCCTACAGATGTGTTTTCACTGCATAGTGAAACTCAGGTTTTTATTAGGGTTTTAGTCCATACATTTCTACAGCTTATATAAAAAATACTGACTGCTCACACAAACTCTAAACATAAACTAATCTACAAGGCTGCAGACTATCAGTGAGAATCTGGCTTCTGCTTTGCAGTGAAGAAACACACAGGAGCTAATCCAGCCTGAAAATACTTAGAGAAGCATTCTTATAGTTGCACATGCAACTGTGGTGTTGATCTTTATGGTAATTGTGAGGTGAAAACATACTTTATGCAATCTGGGAGGAAAAAAACTCTCTGAAAAATGTTACTTTTGATGGAGGAAGTTTAGCTCAAACACACTATGATACTGTGACATGCTACTCTGAAACATACCATAAATCCATTTAGATCTGTTGGTGTCTTTTACAGAATATTATATAGGACTGGGTAGCTTAACCTTGCCTGACAAGAGTTCCACAGTCCAAGTGCAACCATCTTTTTTATCTTTTTGAGATCTAACCCTCAGAAGAGATGACAGTGGTAAAAACTTGATTCCCTATGCTATTCTGACACTCACCTAAGCAATTCACAGAATCATCAAAATACTGGCTGGAAAGGACCTCTGGTGGCCATGCAGTCCAACCTCTTGTTGAAGCTGGACTGTCACCAACACTATATCAAATGATTTGCAGTTTTGCCCAGCTGAATCTTGAGAACATTCAAGGATGGAGTTTCTACCATCCCTCTGTGCTGCACTACCTTCCTACCGTGATTTCTTTTCCCCTCAAGCTCAACCTGAACCTCATGAACTTGTAGTTCATGGCTACTGCCCCTCGATATAACATGTGGCACTGCTGAGAAGAGTTGTGCTCCATCATCTTTGTAACTATGCTCCAAGTAGCTGCAGGCTGCCATTACAAAAACGGGTAGACATGGCACTCTGGGACATGGTTTAGTCTAGTCTACCCTTGGTTGGTTTAGTGTGGACTTGGCAATGTAGGTTAATGGTTGGACTGGATGATCTTAAAGGTCTTTTCCAACCTAAACGATTCTATGATTCTACATTGTCTCTCAGTTTGCTCTTTGCCAAACATGCCATGGTCTGTCGACCTCTTCTCATGGGTCATGTACTCTAGTCCCCCACCATCCTGACGCCATCTATTGGGCCCTCTCCAGTGCTACCACAACTCTTCTAAACTCCAGGGAGGGGAAGCCAAAACTGGACACAGTTTTTCAGGTGTGGTCACACTAGTGTCAATGTGGGGGGAGTACTAACTTGAATTTAAATAAGAACATACTGTTGGCTCATACTCAATTCAGTGTTCACCATGTATCCTCTGCTGATCAAAGAACCAGGCTGTCAGCTATCTGAATTGCATAATGCTTTTCTAATACTCGTGTACCACATGAACTCCTTTTGATGGTAACATTACATTTCTCCCTCACTGGAAGAAATGCTACCACATCCCAGTATGATTTTCTACATTTGTGCAATACATATACAGAGCAAGTCAAAACACTAAGAATGTATGTGTAGAACTTGAACGCACTAGCTAGAGAGAGAGCTACTGAGGTTGTCTAGAGGAATCAAACTTCTTGGTGGCTGGACTTCAGAATGCAGCGCAGGGGCATGCCTTTAGAGACCATGCAAAATTAAAGTTTTATCTCCAATAGTAGAAATATCAATTTTTCAGTTGACAGTGTAATACATACTCTGAAGTCCAGACTCTCATTACTTCTCTGAAATGCTATAATTCTTCACTAATCCAATGCCAATTATAATTAGACCTGCCTGCAGTTCTGCAAGACCTATAAAAAAATGTATTCTTTTAAAAGATGAAGTGCATCCACACTGCCAAAGCATATAAAAGCACAACCATATTTACTCTAATCTTGGCATACAGTCCCAAAGCACAGATCTGCATTTGGTATCTAAACTCTTGCACACAAAAGTATTTTAGTTAAGCAAAAGATTAGAAGCTGTAATAATCTAATGCCTGAATATCAACTGTAGAATTAAAAGGTCTTTAATTAATCAGTAAACAGAAAAATGAAATACATCTACAAGAACTTTCAAAAATATAATAAAGAATTCAACCATCTCAAATTACTCCACAAGCCTAAGAGATTTAAGCATAGACAGCAACAATGCTTAAATTAAGGGAAAGGTAAAAATGTTCAAGACTGTTTTACAGTAAGTAGAATTCCTTTTCTTTAATGCCCATCAGAATTCTTTATAACAGTCCTGTTTAACCGAAACACCAAGGAATAAAACACACTAAGCAGAATCAGAAGTTTACTCCTTTCTATCACTCAAGGGATGAAATACTACTTGTAGCTCAATTACCCCTGCAGCTAGCAAAATCTTTTTCACCTACCTTGAGAAGAGCCATCGTCCTCTTCATCCAGTGTAAGATCAATGACACCTCCTGAATCGCTTCCTGTGACCTTCCCGCTCTGAAAGACAAAACTCCTTCATTTTGCAAAAGCAAATCCAGGGAACACAGGTGGAAAAGGGATATGAATTGAACATTGAGGAGACGTCTCAGAATTGATGCACTTATTAGAAAGGAACTGATGAAATGAGCAGGAGGAGGAAATTTCACACAAATTTCCCAGGACTTGAAAATACAGGCAATAACCAAATGACTGTATTGCGGTATTAAATATTTAAGTATTTTTAGCTTTGTAAGGAGTAAAAAAACCTGATGACCAGTAGCATGTTGTCATTTTACAGGTAAATAAATAACAATTTGGTGTTACAGAGTACCTTTCAATTATGACCTTTAATATTTTAACCTGGTTGTAATCTGTGTTTTCCTCTAGAGTAGTATAACCTTTTGACAGTCACCAGGACAATACATTACTTATCTTGAGACAGCTCAGCCTATGTGCCTATGAAGAAATTGACTTCACAATAAGCAAAAGAGAAAGTTACACTGGAACCTGCATGCTTATAAAACATGTCATCAAAAGCCATCAGAAAACTCCAATTGTATCCAGCCTTTTAAAGTAATTTCATTACTGCATTTTTATTCATTGTATCACAAATTTTAGCATTCTGTTATTCTACATATGAAGCCATTTGTAACTATCTCTTTAGAGAGGACAAAGCTATCTTTTAAGCTACTGTGAAGGTTAAATGTTATAAAAATACCAGAGGACCACAAAACAAAATCTGGATCAGTTGCTGTCCCTTGGCTGTTCAAACTGGAGGGACCACCAACATTTTCCTGTCGGTGATGGAAAAAATACATATACTTTATAGAAAAAAAAAAATCAATTTCTAGTTCCTTAAACTTGCTGCAAAAATTAGGGTTTTTCTGGTTTTGCAGAAGAGATGATGATTTATTGTTGGACTGAACTACTACTGATTTATGGATTAGAGTAAACCAGGTTCCTTAGGACAGACAAAGGGTTAGAAAAGCAACATAATTATCAAAATCTCTAAACAATTAACACAGGAAAAAAAAAAGTACGAGTTACCAGCCTGACATGGCCTGTACAAATGCCAACATGATAAATCCTTGGAAGATCAGAGATTTTTCTGTGCAGTTTGATGGGGACAGATGCAAAGAGCCTAAGCATTGAGATTATCTCTCTATGACCTTTCATTTGGGTAAAACTAAGCCTTTAAGAAGGTCCTAAAGACAATTCTCACACAGGCAAGGCTTTGAGGGGAGGGAAAAGAGGTATCGTATGATTACTAAATGCAAACAAAAGCTGTGTCCAAATTACTGGTCACTGAATTTGGAGTGCCTGACATGACTGATCTCTTCATTATGCATTATTACAACCTGATTTCTTCTTGCCTTAAGTTCTGATGCTGCCACTGGTGGAATTCTGCTAATAACCTACACGATACACAATTTGAGTAAAAAATATCTAACTACTTATGTTCACAGGCGATAGGAGAGACCTCTATAGGGACTCTATCTTTGCTATACATAGAGAAACATCTTTCAGATTTATTAACCATGGAATTCTTCTGTTGAGCGATTTCTATTTCAAAGAGTCTCCAGCTTCAGTTTTCTTAGTATGATGAGCTGATTTACCCACTTGAAGCTTAAAACACACATTCAAATAATCAATGATTACTCGATTAGCATAAAGTCAAGAGGAACTTCATTCCAACTTGATAATCTTCCCAGTCAACGACATGTATTTTGAACTACATCCCTCTCTGCCAGGAGAAAGCAGACTGAAAAATGGAGGGGGAGATTTATAAGGAACTGGAGAAGGAGAAGACTAACACTAAGCTATTCATTTCTCCCCACTAGAAAATACGTTAGTCTGAAGTAATTTCCTTTCAATTCTTCCTCCACAAGGAAATCTAAATCCTTAGAAAAATACTCTGTATGAAAGCTAACTGTTTCGAAGCCTCACTTAACTCTGCCAGTTAAGAAAGTTCTTTGAATTTCCAAGTCAGCAAGTGTCACTGCATGCATTTTTATTTTGGTGTGTCTGGAGGGCCAAAATCTTGAGTTAGTTAAACAGGCAACTATTCAAACATAAATCCAATCAGCCGACAAGGTCTCATACATGTACTTCTCAGGAGGAAAGACCTTCTTGTCATTAGCCACACTATTCAAGGTTTTCTACTAAACAACCCTGGTAGCAATCTCCTCAACAGGAACTATCCTTAAGTAATTAGGTTCCTTCCACAACCCACACTAGAAGCTGCAGATCTGCAGGGCAGTTTTGAGTGGTGGTCTGTGGTACATCCCCGGACTGGTCCTGGTTCCAAGGCAAACACTCCAGCTACCCCAAGAAGATGGTGTACTCCACACACAGCACACCCCGAAGTCCTGACTCCCCAGCCTCCCCAGCTAGATCCCCCTAGTTCACCAACCATGCATATCCCATGAATGAAATTTAGAGGTACAGGAAAATTTTAAGGAAACCTGAAACACTGAAAATGCTGCTCATTGTGTTTCCTGCCTAGGGGGGTATGGTGTCGGAGTGTTAACACTTACCACCTGAATAATTAAGACCTACAAATGGAACCATTTGGAATCATCCCTACCAAAAGCAAGTAATAAATGGTTTTCAGAAAATCCTGTGCCCAGCCAATCAAGAAAATAAAAACACCCCTTTTAAGTGTCATGACTATTTTACTCAGAAATTCTCTGAGGGAATTTTTTGTTGCTAGAAGGACTTGTGAAAATTCCTGTTTACAACAGAGCTATGTTTGAGGAAAGGCTAGAGACTGCTATTGCTTCTGTAAATAGAAGGGAATGGAATTCTGAGGAGGAGACTGCCATGTCACACATCAGAAGAGAAGAGTCAGACATGCTGCTCTGAGCAAAATCAGAAGCCAGCTTAAGAAGGCTTGCAGCCCTGATGAAGGCAAAAGGAAGCCTGACTTTCAGTCACGGATGAACAACTTTCACATTGATGTCAAAAATTGAAATAAGAGAACAAGTCTTTCAGCTCCTAGAATTAGATTTCAGCAAGCATTTGGGCAGAAACCGCTAGCACAGAAAAGCCAAGTCAAGGCAACTGCCATCAGTTTTCAGCTTTCTCCAAACACAGCAAGCCAAGAACCTGAACCTGCTTCAGCTGATCTCCAGAAGAGCAAGATGATGCAATCATAACACCTTTTCATCAGTACAGTCACGCTTAGCAAAATAATTAAAACCAATTAATGAGAACGCAAAACTTATGGCTGGCACTTTAATTCACAGATTGCCTAGCAAGTCTGAATAACAGAAGATTCAGTCACCTTAGAATATCAAATAAGCTGGAACAGAAACAAAATAACCACAGTAATATGAAGCACTCTCTATCTGTTTAAAGATCACAGTTACAAAAAAACCAAAACCACAACCCCAAAACCACCGTTTTATCATTTGTCAGAACGAGAGCACCAGTCTCCAAAGAGACCAGAAATGGCACTTAAATCTGATTGTTTACAACAGCATCTGGGTCATTTCTAGTAATCAAACAGAAAAAACATTTACACTGAGATTTAAAATAAATGTAAACTGCCAAACTCCCTTTTCCATCCTTCTTAACAGCTCACATATGTTAATGTATATGCCCTTAAACTCCAAGAAAGTGGAAATCCTCCAAAATACTGCAATTCACGCTGCCATTTTGAACCTGTTTTATCCATAGCTAATGAGGTAACTGTACAAACTGGAAGTAGTAACATCACAAACTGGACCATCCTGTTAATCACAACTGTATCTGAGCTGCCTTAGTTTAAATCTTTCTCTGCTTTCACATAGCAGCCAGCAGTGTAACAATTTTAACACAAAACAATGCAACAAAAAAATTAAGTTAAACCTAACAAATCCTACTCTGAAATGTCACAGTTTTAAAGATAAACATGAAAAAAACATTTTAGGAAGAAAGCAAGAAAAATACAAGACTTCATCTTTTCCCGACTTCCTAATTTTAATATAATCACATCTTTATCCTTCATCTGGTCAGTGAACTTCCATTTGCAATTAAGATGTTTTCCATAAAAACGATGTGTCCTGTAACAGAACATTTCATACTTAAGTCTAATGTAGATCCAGCCCAAGAAGATGCACACAACTTGGAGCTGAAAGGCAAAACACTACATGAAGTGGGGAAAGAGGACTGCAAGGTATGATTAAGAGCAGAAACAAAGGTGAAAAAAGGAAGGAGGAGGAGGAAAAAAGGCAGTGGGCAAAACAGAATTACAAGCCAAGCAGCAGCCGAGCATGCACCACCCCGAATACTGAAGGATGGTGTGAGTGTACTGTAATACTACGCCGCTATTCTCATTGTGTTGTGCATTTCTCCTGAAAGAGCCAGCCAAGGAGAAAGCACTTCACATTTACAATCTTGATCTGTTTTGAAAAGTGTTTTCTTTAAAGAAAATTGCAGGCCCTCTGCTCCCAGCTTCTTCAGTTTGCAAAGTCATGTCCACACCTACCGCACTTACCAATATATAACAATCCCTGGTCTCTGTTTGCATGCCAAACGCCCCAGGCAAGCCCCTAACTTGTCTAGTGTGAAGGAAAAGTATTTTAATGCCAAGCACATAACTTGTGAAAGCAGCAACTGAAAGACCCTAGAAGAGGGGCAAAACCAAAAGAGTAAATCCTCATCCCTTTCAAATATCTGAGCGAAACCTGGTAAGTCCTGAAACAGAGGCTAAGTCACAACCTTCTCTAAACACCATTTAATTAGTTAAGTGTAAACTGCTTTCTAGTGCATATGGCAGAAAGATAATGAAAAGCATGTATAAAATGAATGCCACTATTCAGATTTGTGCATTTTCATCACTTTAATTAATAGAAATCGGTATTTTACGTGTTCTACCAGCTGAAAAACTTTTGCTGAAAAGCGATCTATAGTACCGATTCTTCTGAGTAACATTTTCAGATTTTTTTTTACCATGAAAACTAACAGAAACAGACTTTAATTTCTTACATAAAATGTCTATTCATATTACAGTAGTCACACTTAAATTCAAGGTT